TGTTGCGGTTGTTGTTGCTTTTTTTTCTTCCTGCTCAGTAACGTTTAATTTCAAATTTTGTCAGCTCGAACGATTGCATTTTTGATGCTTTGTCCGTGCGTCGTTTCCAAATCAATTGCTAAATCAATCACCGTTCGGCGTTGATCCAATTAAATTCGAATCAGTGGTTCAAATAAACTTACTTGCAGTTACTAATTCGATTTCATTAAATTTCAAAAATCTCAATTTTGATTTGATTTACAAAGTATTTAGAGAGAAGTAAAAAGATAAAAAAAAAGGAAGGGAAAAACAAAACAGGATATCTTTTTTTTTTAAATTGACCTGGTATTTTTTAAAAATATTTATTAAACCTTATTTCCGCTTCTTGTTTTTTTCTTTTCCTGTCCATTTTCTTTATTCATGTGAGCCACGAAGAGTGTCCACTTCATTAAACAAAAACAAAAGATACAGGATGCAATGTGTAATGCCGCTAAAAATGAAATAACACTGACATTTCATTTAAATAGATATATCTACCAAAATTACGCAAAAATATCTTAAACTATTAAAGAGTATATTCATTCAATAAAATCCCCATTCGCCCCAAACACTGCTTAACCTCCAGATGACTCTGGAACCTCCTGCATCTCTTCTGGACGCTTTTCTTATTGACATCCAAACAATCCAAAATGTTAGTATTGTAGCTTCCGGTGCGAATGCCAAGCAGTACAGTATGCTGTTTCCAAATTTCTGGCGAAGTGAAATGTGTCATGGTACTTTTTTTTTTCTCATAGATGGAGCTCAACTGATCTTACTATACGATGTAGTCGACAAAATCAAAAACAAACAATGCGCATGCGCGAAATTAAAAATATAAAAAGGCGAGAATTTACCCATCGCACCCTATATATATAAGGAATCAACAAAGTATTCAGACAATTTCAAAAATAATTGCAAAAAAACAGAAGAAATATAAATTTGTGTTTCATATTAATGTATTTTGTTAAAGTTTTTTTTAATGATATTAATAGTTTTATTAATGTTATATTTTAGGTTTCAGGCCTTAGTTAACGAGGAGTTGCCCCTAAAATAGGATAACAATGGCTACACCAAAAGAAAATGCTCAATGTGTGCCTGGGTTTATCGACACACGATCCGACATTCAAACACGAAAAACTTACAGTTAAATATTGAAAACAAGCTCCTAAATTTAATGAATTTGCATATACCCTGTATATTATTTTTTTTCTATTTTAAGAATATTCAAAATGACTTTCAGTCTGTTGTTAACTGGAGCAAAGAATAGCGTGTTAATTTTAATGCCCTCAAAACTAAACTGCTCAGATAATCCTTTCTGCTTTCCAGGAGCATGGCTGATGCTGACCAGAGGGGAGTGGCTCACTTCGCCTGCTTTGCATAACCTATTCGACAGACATCGAGTGGAAAGATTGAATCCATTGCTAGGTCAAGGAAGTTAGTTCATTGTGTCATGTGATACGATTTTTTCTCTCTAGAATGTATCTTGTATATTTATATTCGTCATGTTTAGAATATTGCTGCCACACATGGCCAGGTGTTTTTGCTATTTATGTAGACCTCGTAGATAAAATCCAAAGAAGAATCATCAATATTATTGGCCGCAATCTTGAGCCTCGGTTTCAGTCACTTTCCTACTGGTGTAAGGTTGACTTCCGTCGCCTTTTCTACAAGTACTTTCATGGGAATTGTTCGGGTGGCTCTTTCGCTGTGTTGTCTAGACACTTTGAATTTAAGCGCAGTACTAGACTGACAAAGAACTCTCACCAATTTAGAGTTGAGTTCGTCAGATCTAACCGTCGATTATAGGCTGAGATTTTCTTTTCGAACACTTCTCGTTTGTGGAACCCCACTTCCGGCTTCTTCCTTAACAGCCAACTTTGGACTCCAAAAATTTAAATGTAATGACAATCGCTATCCACTGTCCATCTGATTACTCTTCCTCTGTTGTCGATCTCTCGCAATTTTTCTCTTTACAACTTTTTCACGCCCAGTAACCTTAATGGCTTCATATTTACGATCACATTTAGTAAATACGTTTTTGAATTTATTTTTTAGCTACCTACCCACAAACATATTTACCATTGGTAAGTGAATTCCGAATGCTCTATTTTTCTCTGAGAAATGATTTTAAATGCAACCAACTGTTTTCGAATCTGTATCTGTGGACAAACAAACCTCCCTGAGGGGACATCAGTACATTTTGAGGTTTCCGCTACAAATTTGATATTATGTGCTTATCAACTCTACCAGAACATTATATATTTTACAGCAATAATAATCCTGTACAAGGCACAGGAGCCACTCGAGGTAGAGCAACAAGTGAGGTGCATAGTTGATGAGGATATATCTGGGACGATGACGGTTGACCCCAGACATGAACAGGTAGAGACTGTATCCATCGAGTAAATATCCTCTTTGGATTCGAAAGTACCGGTACGTGGAACAAGCATTTTGAGTTGAACTTACATCTCACCAATGAAATACGAAGAGAATGCAGTGGGGGTTCGCTACAATGGGCGTGACATGTGATCTTTTATTCGGAACTAATGGAATGTAGTTCGTCTGGACACCATCCATGGAAATAAGCGATAGAATATCGAGATGCTTGCAAACGTTTCGTCTGTGGGAAAGCGGTTGTATGGTGGAAAATAATTCTTCACCCAGAAGACAGCGTAAAAGCTTTAAGCCTGGAAAGTGAAGAATCTCTAAATATATAGCAGGGGGAACCAGAATTGATAATGGCAGCAGTATTCAAATCAGATTCTGGCAAGAGAAATTGTCTAACACGACAAATTCGATCAACTTTCCTAGCAACAGATCTAGCAATTGATTCAGTATAACTTTTTCCACTTTCTGTCAGATAGAAGAAAAAAAAAGGGATTAAAAGAGAGCAGTTCTTATTTTGAATGTAGTAAAATTAAGAAACTGTTAAGGGGTCCACCCCTTTTTCACACAAGTGGACTCGACCAGTGTGTATTTGTATCACTGCAGGTGAATACCCGGAGGTTAGAAGAGGTACAGTAATAGAGAGAGTAAGAGTTTGAGGTAACCGCTTTCTAGGTGTCCCAGTTGCAAGCACGTAGACTCAGAAGGAAGTCCTACAAGTCATAGAAGTGGATTCGACCAGTGTGTACTTGGACTGCTGCCGTTAAATACCCAGAGTCAGTCAGAGTAGAGAGTAGAGAGATTGTGATTGAGTTGGAGGTAGAGTAATAGTGTGAGGTAACCGCTTTGTAGGAGTCACAGTTGCAAACACCTAGACTCTAAGGAAGTCCTACTGCGAGACTGGATTTACCAGTATATATATATATTATTATTGCTACTAACCGCATTTCTGGATCTACTAACCGTATTACCAATTGTATTATTACGTCAATACATTTATTTGCTATATTTCATTCCTGCGTTTTTCATTCATTGGAGACCGGATTTCATCTCGGAATCCACAATAGAAAGCATTCCTTGTTTTAGATCCTTCGTCATTTTTTAGAGCAACTGCGAATTTAACATTATCGAACCGATCAGACTTACCACTAAGACAGGATTAAGTAATGTCATCGGCATAAATAACGAATAGAGAACGCCAGGATGGTCGTTTATGAAAACTAGGAACAACGCAGATTCAAGAACACCTTCATTAATACAAAAAAGATCTAGAAGATTGGCCATTCAAGAGAACTCTCATTTCCCGATTTGATAAGAAAGACTCTGTCAGTTCAAACATTAGTCCAGAAAAACCATAACCTTTCAAAGTGTCAGGATGCTGATCTACTATAGCTCCTAATCATTCAATCATTTTGTTTAAATCAATCTGTTATGGGACCCTACCCATAATAACATAATGGACTATTCCATACGTAATAAATACTGCGCCTCAAGAGGAAGCTGAGAGTTCAGCCCGAACCGGCTGACTGGCTGATCGGTTGAACGCTCTGCCTTCGGGCGGGGAGGAACCCGAGCGAGGCTATGCCGAAGGGCGGAGTCTCTTTCGTGGAGGTAAACCGACCCTGTACCCGTTTATATGGGTTCAAAGGGCGTATTTTTGGCCAAGCCCACGGGCTCGGATATCCCACGTTAAACCGGCCTTATGCCACGTGATGCCATCGTGGTGGGGTGACTAAATACCGTTCAGTCTGAAGTCTGGAGTGAAGTCCGTCAGGAGTCAGTCAGTCAGAGCGAGCGAGTCAGTCAGTCGAGTCAGAGGCAGTCCGAAACAGAGTCGCGTTCAGACAATTACTACTAAACCTGATTGTTCGTACTAACACTTTTCTATCTCTCTGTATATATTCCTGTTTGTAATATATCTGTGTTATTCCATATCCGTGTTCGAGTTCTTCTTTATTGGTTCTACCTTGCACTATCACCGTGGTACAAGGAACCGGACCATAACACAATCAGAGGAATATATTTAAAACGGGTAGAGAAAAGACAATATACAACAATATAAAAGTTAGTCATTGCTTCGACCAACAAAGTTGCAAGACATTATGTAATCACATATATTTGTAGGGCCATCTATTTTCTTTTCTACATTGATCCGCAATTTATATAAAAAATGTTTTCAGTATAATTCAGTGATTTCTGTTTGACGAGCCAATAATAATTTGGAAGAAGATACAGTAATTCTTTTGATTGTATCAACATTCTTAGATAGGACTCAGTTCTAAACCTTCAAAAGTATTAAGGTTGCAAATAAATTAATATATATATATATATATATATATATATATAAGTGATGTGATTCGTTTTCTACGGCTTATCAAACCATGTCGGGTTATTTAAAGTCAGAAAATATTTTTAGATTGTAAGATTTTTTTGTCGCTAATAATAATTAGGTTATACAAAATCTTATTAATTAACCCATAGGTGGGGAAACGAAATTGGTGGATCCATATCATTCCGAAGGGTATCTGAAAATAACGAACCCGACAGGAATTGAAAGTCTGTACCCTGATTAATAATTACCGACTCGCACATTCAAGCTTACAGCACATTGTATTCCCAAGTGGTCACCCATCTAGATACTGACCAGGCTCGGCGTTGCTTAACTTCGGTAATCGTACGGGAACCAATGTTCCAACATGATATGGTTGTAAGGTTGTGTGTATGGCATGTCGGGTCTTAGCTGTAAAGGTCTGAACTGGCGAAACTGAAGAATGTATACCATTGGAATATATTCTTTGGAAATAGCGTAGCGAGAAGTTCGCGACTTTTCGCCCGTGGGAAAGATGATGTTACCCATCTAGGTACTGGCTAGGATCGACGTTGCTTAACTTCGGTGATCGTTCGGAAACCGGTGTTTCAACCTGATATGTCTGTCAGTCTCAAAATTTCTTATGTAACTGGTTTCGAAATAAATGCTCTCATCTTTTGTTCAGTGAGTTTGTAAATAGTATAAAATGGATTTTAGTTGTTTGCTTTTCTCTCACAGACTATTGTATCCCTTTGATGAATGATTATTATTTGGAACCAGATTGTGTCGTTTTTTGTTTTTTTTTTTCATAATAATGGCGTTGGCGGATATATACGCTCTCTGAGTGCTCTCTACTGACAAACTGGAATCAGAAACTTCTTTGTACTTACCATAGAAAGTGTTGAACACACACAGGATCTTGTTCTTCTGGAAATCGGAAAGATGATGGGCAGACATGTTGATTGTTAGTAGTAATGTCCTTTAGCGAATGTTATCCAATAATGTTCCTTTAAAAGAAAGAAATCAAATAACAGGTTAGTGAAACGGCGCTGAAAGGTTGGTTAAATATTTACCCTTGAACAGGGAGAAAAAAATTGCAGGAATATGCACGCTAAACGGAAAAAAAAAAACGATAAGGTTATCTTTTAAAGGCCAATATTTTTCTATGAAAAAAAAGTAAATGTTTAACGCTTTTAGATTATAACTAACAGCATGGCCCGGCGTTACCAGTACTTGATTCAAAAATCGTACGACTCATACAGCAATCAATTGACTTAAAATATTTTTGCCTTTAAAGGAGTGCCCTTTGACGTGCTGATGTTGCTTCATGCTTTACTTCTTGCCTATCTCACACTGCGAATTTTTTCTAAGCTCTATACTAAACATTAAATCTGTTACGAAAAAAGAACTAAACAAAATGAACACAAAACGATCAGCTTTAAAAAAAGGACTCGTAACTAGAAAAACCGAATGAAAAAAGAATGTTAACAACAAATACTTTTTCACACCCAACCCAGTTCTGCGGAATCAGAATCAACGTTGAGTTTAAGCAAGCGAATGAGCCAATTGGAGTAAAGTGCCGTGCAGATTTAAATTTTTCCCACTTGTGACAAATGCAGCTATCGATTTTTTTTCTTGCTAGCATGCTAGTTAACATTCGTGTCAGTCAGCTGTTGGCTCTCACGCTGATCAATAGAATATTCCTGCCTATTCGTGGCAGCCACCTATAGGCTCTCACCTTGGCCAGTAGAAAATGGCCGCAAACTACATGAAAACTGCCGTAGAAGCATGAAAAAATCGATTATTTCCACTATCTATGGGAGTTGGGAAATGTAATGTTGGTCTTGGCCTTCCCGCTAATTTGGAGCATGTGCATGTAAATTTTGGTGCAAATCCGTCTAAAATTGCGGCCGTGCATTCGTTACACACACACACACACACACACACACACACACACACACACACACACACACACACACACACACACATCTTGCCTTTTATAGATAGAGATAAAGAGAGAGAATTGGGGAAAACAAACGTTATCTTTTTAAATTTAATATTTTTAACAGGATATACCTATATATGGGCTAACAGCTGACTGACACGAATGTTAACTAGCATGCTACAGGATATATCTATATATGGGCTAGAGCTGCACAGTCTTTACTTCATTTGCCTGTTTTGGCAAAGTTCAAAAACGTCTACGCGGACTTGTGGGTGAAGAATTATTTTCCACCTTACAAGCCCTTTTCCTCAGATAAAATGTCGAGAGCCTTTCTAAATGGATCGCATAAAAAGGTTGGGAAATAAGTAGTAATAATACAAATACTGCCAAGAGATACAACGGATAGGATATTTGTGGAGAGCCATAATCGCTAACGTCTTGAAGGGACATGGCACTTAGATGAAGATGTGGAGATTTATCATTGTCAGTTCACTGTTTTTTGAGTTGAACATTGTTGTAGGTAATCCACTTTTCATCACCCCTTTAAGAACCTGTTAGTAAGGGCAGCAATACAATTGTCAATATTCGGATATATCCGTGGTTTTTCAAGTTAACTTTTTTCTTATTTCTCAGTGTTAGTCTCTATCCATGACATGTGTTCTGAGGAGCTAAATTCCATAATCCTACTACCCCTGACCTTTACAACTGGGACCCACCACGCCACGTACAAAAGCATGAATCATCCCCATTCCTTTCGTATTCCATCAGTAAGGAGTAAGTTCCACTCGGACAGCTTCTTCCAAGGAACAGTTGCTTTGTGGAACAGTCTCTTGAGAGGATTGTTTCCGAATCTCTACAACCTTGAAAATCAAGTCTAGCTTAATCGTTATCCGTTTCTTGCGTTCATACAAAACCACACAGTAACGCACTACTTTGAGTGGCTCTTGTACTGGGTAAAAAAAAAAGTTGTCACTATTTTTTATATCTTTTCTCTTCGAGATGTATGCAAGCAGACATAATACTGGCTTTGTCTTGTACTTCCAGACCTCGTGAATCATAACGTTGCCAATTAGTCATTTAGGCTCAAATCAAGGAATTAGGAAAAAGACAATTATATAATCATCTGAAGAATTATACTGATCTCCAATGAAAAATCAATATTATTGAACGTCGTTTAAAAGTTAAGGCTAGGAAAGGAATATCGTATTCTTGGAGGTTAATAACATATAATTATTTTCTTTAAAATAAGGTTCTGATTCTTTATTTTCCGCATTTTATTTAGCAGAAAGATTGTTTTCAGCAACAGAATGGTACAGAGAATGTCTTGGAGAAATAAGACAGTTATTCTCTTCCTTTTACGAAAGATATATGCGGTTCCGTTATTTTGGTAATTTAAAAGCAAAAAAATAACAAATAAATTAAATGGACATTATGAAGGGCACTTATTTCATTAGTGAAATGACTAAAACAGTCTTCGGCAGGTTTTCCAGAAATAAATGTACTGGAAATTAGATAAAAAGCCGTTGTTTTTTGGGTTTTGTTTTTTTTTGTTTCACGATGCAATATATTTTTTTCCTTTTGTTATTCGTCAAGAAAAGGAAAATAGATTTCGAAAACGTTGAATAAGCAAACATAGATAGAAATAAAAATTGATTATTTTTCCTTAAATCAGGAAAACAGAAGCGAAAAATTTAACTCACAGCATCCGTCAAAATATTTTTTTTTATTAAAAAAACATTAAAGTTGAAATGAAAATAAAAAACTTATTCAAATAAACGCAAAAGTTTCAGGGCTTCAAATGGAGACCTCAACATCGCTTTCTTCCTTCTCAATCCAGGTACAAGGATTTATGAATTAATAACACCTGCTCTTTCTTTAATTACAACAGATTTAAACATAGAAGCATAAAAATATACCAAAATGAACTCCGTCGTCTGAGGATTCCAATTCTAATCCTTAATGTAGTCTCATTCCGCCACAATTGTTATAAGAGTCGACTAAAACACTAATACTGGTTCTTATTTATCATAAATACTCAAGTATAGTGTTTGTTTGAATCAAATAATGATAATAATACATGTTCTTTAGTTACAACATATTTATAAGCCAATGTGATTAAGACACTACCAAGAAAACAATCTGAAAGACATCATACTTATTATAAAACCCTGGTTGTGTGTGTGTGTGTGTGTGTGTGTCTGTTCGTTTATATATTGGATCGGATTTCCTACATTTTTCAACCGATTTCAACAAATCTTCACAGGACTACGTAAATTACCTTGCAGTGGTTCTGACAGGGCCAAAAATTGGAAAAACACAATTGTTTTTGCACGAAATCAATTTGAAAACACAATTAAGAGGCATCGCAAGAATGAAAAGGGGACAACTCTTATCGAGTTATACTTATTATAAAACCCAGGTTGTTTGTGTGTGTGTCTGTTCGTTTATATATGGGATCGGATTTCCTACATTTTTCAGCCGATTCCAACATAACTTCACTTTTTTTGGCAGGTAGTGTTTCTTATTGTCTTGCACACTTTTTTTTTCTTTATTTTTACATTCAGAATGCTTTAAAAATTCCATTTACAAGACAATTGTTTATAATAAAATTCTATTCAATCGGTAGATTCATAACGATTGAAAACAATGTTTTTTTTTGAATTTGGGTTTGACCAATTCGTAAAAAAAAAAACAAAAAAAAAAAACAAAACAAACTAATTAAGACATTCATGTCCGTCAACCTTAAACAATAATCTTTGTCAATTTTAATATTCCAGTCTTTATGATGGTCGATACTTGATCTATCTCTTACTGTTACATCCCCGGGCAACGCCGGGCTCTATTGCTAGTCTTCAATAAAACTGACCCAAATGACCTTTTAGAATTTCTAAAATGCAACAAAATTATATAACAAAATATAGTCGGAAAAGAAGAAAGCTTAAAATCATCATGCACTAAATCCGAAGAACTCTATCTATATCTCGAAGACAATAAAACTCACAAAGGTCAACAAGCAGTAAACAAAATTCAAAGAAATTCTTCAGCATTAAATAAACGAAAAGGGTTGATATGTTGTTAAAACAAACAACTAAACCAATCTCATTGTTACTACGAGTCCTATATTTTTGGCAAGAATTTTAACCACTACAGAAAAAAAAATTACTGGTGTATAGTGCAAACGGTTACTAAAAATGCATGATTTTTAATCTTTTCCAAAAAATTGCCTGTGGGTACAGCGACCCCATATTTTTTGCGTAAAAACTGATCATAAAAACGTACCCTATACTTGGGTATATACGGATGGTAATTCTCAGAAAACTTAGAGGCAGAACAAGGCAAAGCAACATGAACATATCTGTATACCAAATCTAGTAGCGATTTTCCAAGAGTAGCTTAGATGTGGCACAAGGCCGAAAGTATGGAGCACCCAGTGAGGATTGAACTCACTACTCAGTCGTAAGACAAGTGTTCTAACCATTACAACACGTCGAGGTGCCCCCCCATACCAAATCTAGTATATGCTATCATTCTTTCCCAAATATTCCTATCAATATAGTTCAAAAAGGTAAAAGTCTTTAATTACAACAGATTTTATAATAGGTTGCATAAATAAAACACAAAAGTTTCAAGGTTTCAAATAGACCTCTTACTCTTCCTTCATAATCCTTACACGAAGATTGATCCAATAATAATCTCTGCTTGCAACACCGTTGCATGAAGTTAGATTAAACTTGTGTTTAAGCGAACTTCATGCATGGTCAGTTAGTTATGTGACATGCGTGATACACGCTTAGGCGATCATGTATCTTTCGATACATGACTGACGAGGCAGATTTTTTTCTCGCAGTAGATTACCATTTCTTTCTGCGGTAGACCAGTTGCCATCCAAGGCTATAGAACCCGGTGTGTCCTGCTATTTACCCATAGTCAGTTAGTTATGTGCCATGCGTGATACACGCTTAGGGGATCATGTATATTTCGATACATGACTGACGAGGCAGATTTTTTTCTC